GGTAGAAGGGAATACGAGTGTGGAAAGAGAAACATGTTGAGAGATATAGGAATTAAGAGTGTGGAAACCCTTTTTAAAACATTAATTGGTGTCCAGGCATGGTGGCTCACACCTGTAATCCCAGCACTTTGGGAGGCTAAGGCAGGCAGATCACCTGAGGTCAGGACATTGAGACCATCCTGGCTAACATGGTGAAACCCCATCTCTACTAAAAATACAAAAAATTAGCTGGGTGTGGTGACATGCACCTGTAGTCTCCACTACTCAGGAGGCTGAGGCAGGAGAATTGCTTGAACCCAGGAGGCGGAGGTTGCAGTGAGCCGAGATCACACCATTGCACTCCAGCCTGGGTGACAGAGCAAGACTCCTTCCCCCACCCCCCGCAAAAGTAAATGGCAATGATTTCTAAACTATTAAAACTATCAATAAACAGAGTGTAAGAAACAGCTAAGGTTAAAAATGTTGCCAGTCAGAAATGAGAATTGGGAGAAGAAGGAGCATGGCAGGAGACTGCTATTTTTCTTTCTAGAATGATTAGATATTTTAAACTAGAAGCAGTTATAACTTTGAAAAATATAAGTGCAAGGTACAAGCAGCTATAAGCACTACTGGTGTAATTATTTAAGGCATATACCTATGGAAGAGATACACAAAAGTGATCTCGATTGTGCTAGATTGGAGAGATTACTGGGAAAGTTTACTTTGTTGTAGTTTTAGGCAGTAGCTGTAGCAAGAAAGAGTGGGAAATGAAGGCAGGGATACAAGTTGGGAGGAAGTCTGGATGGGCTGTGCCCATTAATCAAGAAGTCTGAGCCCTTGATCACAAAAGTGATCCTTTCTATCAGAAGGAATCATTAGCATAGAAAGTGAACTTGTAAACATGAAATAGCCTAAGGCTCAGATAGGAATCTACAAACCTGGGTTAGGGTATTTTCCTTAAAGGAGCCCTTTATTTGTTCTGGCAAATAGCTGACTGGAGAACTTGGGCTACAGAATTCTTCCTGGGAAGGTGGCTATCTACTTACTAACCCACATCTGAACTAACTAGCAGGGCCATCCCTCCCGTCCATCCAGACAGCCATCCAGCCATGCCACATTTTTGAGCCCCAGGTATTGGGCAGACATCGTGCTCAGTGCTGTGCCCCTGCTAAATGGAATCTAAGAGCACCCTTGCAACCCAGCTCTAAACTTCCCTCCCCTTCCCACCCTGCCAGTCTCATCTTATAGGATATAGGCTACGAGCTGTGAGATAGTGAGAATTCATATTTTCTATTTACTTTCACCTTCCTAAATATTTACTTTTCCTTCACCTGCCTGAGCTGTATGATCAATATCAACACATTTTTTTAAGTTCAATACAATTTTATTTAAAAATGTGTACAGCTGAAAGAGTGATCTGATCTTTCATTAAAAGAAGCCAATTTTCACAGAATATATTTGGTTGTTTTAGCTTTGTCATGAGTAATAACAGAAAAAGAAGTTTCTGTTCAAGATCCTCACTCCAGCACATTGAGCCAGGTCCTTGGCAAGATGACACATTTACCTTTTAACTCTTAACAATTGCAAGGATAAAATACTTGAAATTTATGAGATGCTCCATTTAATGGAACAACTCAAATGTTAAAATATTAGGTCAAGTAACATGCTTTGATATTTTTAAATGTTACTTAAAACTTACTGAGACAAGATACACAGCACACTCTTGGTATTAGAAGAATGCTACTTGGTGGTCAAAAACATTTTAAAAAGACAAGAAGCCACACATATTGGTATACAACAATGTCTGCAAAGCAATGTCATGTTTTAAATTTTGTTAACTGAAATTAAACCTGAAAAAAAAATCCAAAGGTCTGCAAAACCAACACACATGTCATTTTAAATGATGAGGTAGATTGTTTCCTATGCAGTAAAGTTGATAACAAAAAATTCCATACAACTCTCAAATCCTCTTTAAAAAATATTCAGGTTATAGTCGCTTTCACAAACAAGACATCTATAAACTATCAATATATATACCTATATGATATCGAACTATATAATATATATCAATATCAATTTATAAATATCAACACCTTTTAATCAAGTTATTTTCTAGATAAATGTGGATACATCAACAGGGCCTCCCTTGGGTATTCCCTGCTTATCCCTTGAAAGCTTCTATTTAATGAGAGACTCCCAAGCTGTTTGGCAAAACAAGGGTAATTAACAGGGCAGCTGTTCTTCTGACACCCAATAATATTGATAACAAGAAAAGAAGCCTAATTTGGGTCAACAGAGTCTACAGGCATGACTGGGGCCTGGGTTCTCATCCTGTCTTCATGAACATAGTTGCTTAGTATTCTCTGACTCAGTTTCCCATTCCCTTTTCCCTCATACAATCTGTAAGAGAGTTTCTCAAGGGAATAAACATTATTTTATTGATGTTTATTTTTTTCTTTGATGGCTACCAAATTGCCTGTACCATTGCAAGTGTGTCTTCAAAAATATTTCTGTTTGAATAAATGAATTGAGTAAACTCAATCCCCTTGGCAATTACATGAATATAAAAATCCACCCCCACATAGGTTCTGTTGGGGGACATTTGGGAGTTCCATTGTCTTTTACTTGAGAACTTTTAATTAAGTTCTCTGTTCATTTCTACCCATCCTGATTCTATGTCACACTCCTCTGTTGATTTATTTTTTCCCCCTCCTGGCTCTGCATCCATTCGTTCTTTTGAATATTGCCTTAAAGCTATACTTCTCAGCACCGAGTAATAGCTCACATTATGTAAGAGGGTTTTGTAAAAGTCTCTAAAAATTTCCAGAACAATAACAACTTAAATTCCCATCCATTCAAAACTAAATAAATAAACCATATTTAATTTGGGTGGAGGGAATTGGAGAGGAATTGGGGAATCAAATCAACAACAGGACGTTGCAATTTCCAGAAAGCTGGGAAATGTCTGCCCCAGAGGGTCAGAAAAAAACCATGTACTTGTATTAGTCCTGGGCCCAGTCATCGGCAGCAGACCCTGATAGGAATAAATCTTGTTAAAACAATACTTTGCAAGGGGTGCTGCTTACCTGGTTTTGTCCATTTTGGGTACTGAAATCACAACAGTCAGAGTCCCAAAGTGGCCTCATGGGTCAGGCGGTCATTGAACAATACTCGGAAGGGTTACTAAATTCAGTAATTCTGAAGTCAACAAAAGGTTCCTGAGAAACAACTGAACATTTGGATGCCTAGAAAGTCAGACACTATTCATTCTACTCTCATTCTACTAGCGGTGACACTCAAGAAGTATATCAGAAACTAGCTTTTTTCTCTTCTCAACATCTGAAATAAAACATTTTCTATCTCTTTTCTAGTTGTTATTTTTTGAGGCATCTCTCTTCCCTAAACTGGTAACTACCATCCTCCCACGCCCGCTACCATGCGCCCAGGATTGGGCCCACCGCAGCCATTGACTACATGACCTTGCTATCCGGGCAGAGCTACGTGGACACGGATAGTCCTTTTCCGGGTTTAGCTGCGTTCCCTGCCCTGTAGTTCACTCTATGTATCTGAATTTCATCTGAGGAATATAATACAATCAATCACAATTATTTAAAATTTTAGGCTACTTTGCAACATCTCTTTCAATGATTATTTGACATTTGCATCAATTATAACAGAATGAAAGGAATTGGTTGGGCTTAATAATTCCCTTTCAGTAGCATAGGTTGAATCTCCCTATTCCAAAAGTCTGAAATCCAAAATGCTCCAAAACCTGAAACTTCTTGAGTACCAACATGATGCCTGAAAGGAATGCTATTGTAGGATTTCACATTTCAGATTTTCAGATTAGAGATGCTCAACCAGTAAGTATAATGCAAATATTCCAAACTCTGAAAAAAAAATCCAGCGTCTTCTGGCCCCAAGCATCTAGGATAAGGGATGCTCAACATATATTATGTTTAACATAGTTCTCTCTCTCTTTTTTGGGTCATTTACATTTACTTATCACTTGGCTAATGTATAGAAAGAGATGATTATTTTAAGGAGAGCTTAAAGGTAATATACTTTCTGGGTCCTTGCGTAGTTTGAGTATGTCTTTCAGTGAACATCACACATAAGTGACACTTTGGCTGGATACAGGTATCTCACTGTCGGTTCACTGTTTTGGAACAGAGTGCTGAAGAGATGTCTGTTCATTCTTTTATAGGTAGCTTTTTTATTCTCTGTATTTCTGTAGGCATTTCTGCCTGAACATCTACCTAATTTTGAGTCTATTCTTGAAATTCAAATTCTTCTTCCAGCTAAGATTAAACACTGATCTCTTTAAAAAAATTTTCTCTGGTGCTAAAACTGACACTACTGTCTAAACTTTCTTCCAATTATTATTTATCACAGCTACTCTCTTACCTTCTAGGATTCTCTATGTTGCTTATATTTTACTGTTCAGTTTTAAATATATTTTGTGTGAATGTGTTTGCTTTAAAATATAGTGTATTGAGAGAAAGTTTGAAGTATAGCAATGCCAACACATTAGGGTAAGATTTTGCCCTTGAAGAGGCAGTTTGTTATTCACAGTTCCCAGGAGGAGGGGCATACCACACACCATGGGGAAGCACCAGGGTGGATTAGGAGGACAGGAAGACGGGTGAAGTGGGGACCAGAGCTTTTATTATTATTTCTACAGGAAGGAATGGGTGAGGCAGAGCAAGCAGGCTTAGGATTTACTAGCCTGAAAAATTTCAGCAGGCTCTAGGGCATAGAAAATATCCTCAGTGTCTGGTGTCTTGCCCTGGGGGTAATAGGGCAGGTGGGCGGATAGACTGTGGGCTTTGTGTTGGTTGAGTTAAGTAAGAAATGGATGCTCACAGCTGAGGTGTTTAGTATCTCTAGGAATTTGTTAACCTGGAGGGACAGTCCGTCTAGAGCAAGAGTGTACAATCTTTTGGCTTCCCTGGGCCATACTGGAAGAAGGAGAATTGTCTTGGGCCACACATAAAATATTCGAAGGATGGCTGATGAGCTTTAAAAAAAAATTGCAGAATCTCATAATTTTTTCGGAAAGTTTACAAATTTATGTTGGGCTGCATGCAAAGCTATCCTGGGCGACTTGCTGTCTGCAGGCCCCAGGTTGGGCAAGCTTACTCTAGAGTCAGCAAGGACTCAGATGTCAAAGATTTAGAACACAGAAAATAAAAGACATGATTAATACAGCATTCTGACAGTGTTTCCTCTTTTTAGTTTATTTCACCTATTTGATATTTGATAGCACCATTCCTGTCCTTCGCGGCCTCCCTGCTGTTCTTAATTTAACAATCCTGTTTGTCCTCTCCATTCATCGTTTTATGAGTTCAGAAAGTTTCCTTCTCCAGATTTGTAGATGTAAAGTTCTCCTAGATCATCTTGAGGACCTGAAGTTGACAATTTCCAAATTGTTCTTGTGTTTCTTATAGTAAGTAGTATTTTCAAAGACCTTTGTTCTAACCGCTGGGAACGTGCTTCTTAACATTAACCGCATTATCTTTTAGCAGGTCTGGTGATTTTCTGTTTGGTCTTCCTGCTGGAGCGAGGTCTGCACCTGTGTCAGTCCCTGTCTGTGTCTGGATGGCTCACTGTCCAAATCTTCAGGCTCACATAAAAGGAGAAAGGCAAGAATGGATACATTTTAGGTAACCTTCCTTTGCCAGGTCAGAGACTCACAAATGGAAGAGAAGGAAGGAACTAGAATTTGAGCTGTTTATTGCAGGAAATGTCACCATGGAGGCGGCTTTCCTTTTGCTCTAGCAGTCAGGAATTCGCTGGGACATGTTCCTTCCATTGCCCCGTGTCGCCCTCATTAAATCCAGCTGTAACGTCCCCCAGCTCTCCAGCTTGCATTGACTGAGAACAAGAGCCACTCTCGGGAGTGGAGGGGATAGGGACAAGGAAGGACTCAGGGACACTGGTTGGAAGTCCACTGCAGCCATGCAGGCCAGAGGGAGTGTGAGCCGTCAGATTCTGGATAGATTTTGAAGCAGAGTAGAAAGGATTTGCTGATGGTTGGGATGTGGAATATGGGACTCTAGAACTTTTTCATTTTTTACATGAGCAACTAGAAAGAATGAGGTTGACATGGGGACTGAGATGTGAAGGACTGTGCGGAGAACATGTCTGTGGTAAAAATGGAGAGTTCGGCTCTGGACATGCAAAATTTGAGAGGCCTATAGAATGTCAGGGGAGATGTGTAGTGTGTGAGCATGAAATTTGGAAGGCAGGTCTAGACATTAGTATGGATGTCTTCCTCCTTTAGATGCCTTTAAAGCCGTGGGATAGGGGTGAACTTGGAAAGCACCGAGAAGTCCTGAGAAGCCAGGACTTGAAAATTAGAAAGAGGAAGAGAAACTCACAGATGACGCTGAGGCTGAGAAGGAGCAGCCCATCAAGCACTATAGGAGACACTGAGTGTGAAAAACACATTTGAAGTGTTTTTTTTCTATTCTCTTATCAAAAATAATCAACACAGAAGAATTCTGTGACCCAGTATGTGAGGATTTCTTCCTACCAGCAAGCATGGAATCAACTCTGTAGCAGTTATCAACAGGTTGTGCTCCAATCCAACTCCATTCTGACCATGTCTATCTGGAGGTAGCATCAGATCCCACCGTTTGAGGGCTCCGTCCTTAAGCCTGCCCCTTGTTTTCAATGTCTGTCAAAAGCCCAGGTTGGGATGGGACTGAGTCACCCATCTAATCCTGCTGTGGTCTTTCAGGTGACCAGCCCCCTTCCTGAAGCTACGTAGGGGCTGCCAGCCATTAGTCAACTCATGAGCATCCAAAAAGATATCACTTTGGAGACTCCAGGGATTTTAGGATTTATATGCCAGGAAGTGGGACAAAGACCAAATATATGCTTCACAATAGCACAGAGACCAAAAGAGCAGGTGTCCTAAAGACCCAGAGAAGAAAGTCTTTAGAGGAGGCAACAGTCATCAAGACTGGGACACTGACCCCTGGATTTAGCAACAAACAGGTCCGGTGTCTGGACAAGAGCAGACTGAGAAGACTGGGAAGAATGAAGGCCTAGTCAGGGTGGGTTTATGGGATGATGGAAGGAGATAAGTGGAGTGGGCAGCTGTCAGTCATAACTAGCCTCAGGAATGCAGCTGAGGGAAGCAAAGAAAAGACACGACAGTGGGAAGCGCTCACAGGATCGGGAGGGTTTGTTGTTATTGTACTGTCATTATTGCTGTGAGGAAGAGAGCGCTTGCTGTCCATTTATTCAGCGGGGAGGGAGAAGCCAATGACAGGACAGATCGAAGGATGTTGTCCTGGAAACAGAGAGGCAGGCCAACTGGGGATTTCACAGGACGATGTGCGGGACTTCTGATGCTTCTTTTTTTCTTAGGAAAATTCAGAATAAGGACAAGAGCTGAGAGTGAAAGACGGAAGGGTCTCTCTGTGTGTCCCGCAGGGCCTATCCTATTCCTCCAGCCCCGGGAAGCCAAACCTTGCCACGGCCCCTCCGCCTTCAGGACTGTTTCTTTGCTTCTCCCTTTCCTGAAAATCAAGTCTTTATGGGTTGAGTCTTTACCACTTGGTCATTTCCAGAAAGTCCCCTTCTTGCTAATTTGCAAATGGCTGCTGTCTACTTTATGTGTTAACAGGATTTATGCTTGATGTGGCAAATATCTTTCTGTCCTGTGCTGTCATGATGTGTCTTTAGAGGAAGACTTCATTCAACTCAATATCCCAAATCAGAAAGTTTTCATTGAGTGCCATGGATGGGCCCCACACTTCTAGCCCAGAGTCCCAGCTAACCGAAGGTTCCCCCACCCAGCACCATCAGGTCTTTTATGCAGCACAGGTAAATGCCCCTGGGAGCAGCAGCTGTCACTGACATTCTCTCCTGCACTTTACCACTCAGCCAACACATGCCCTTGACACCTGGGTGTCAGGAACAGTCACAGTAGCCCCCATTGCGCTTGGAGGGTCATTGCTTTGAGGCAAAGAAAAAAGGAGGGAAAGAAAAATAAAGTTGGATGACGTCTCCCCACTTTGCTCCTGGTTATTTTGCAGGTAGAAGGCTTCACTTTATATTTTAAAGAAAAGTAAAGCTTTAACTGCTTCCTATGTTGAAACCTCTATGACAAATTTAGTCAGAGATTTAAAAAGCACCATTAAAAAAATAGACTATAGAGATGTGATACCTGTCTGTACCTACTTACCACTGCTGGCTACCGTCCAGAAAACAGGAAACCATGTCAAACTACATTTTTAGAAAAGGCTATCCTGGATAATATATAATATATCCTTTTATTCATTATTGAGACCCAAAGGTTAAGGTGTTTGAGAATGCTTCTTTTAAGTAATTGAGCAAGATGGAGGGAGAGAAAGAAAGAGAGGAGAAAATATAAGTTAATGTGGTTGATTGGGGCAAAAACTTTCTAGAAGCTCTGCAAAGAAAAAATATGAAGATAATAAAATAGCTATTGGAAAATAAATTCATTTTGATTGATTAGAAATTACCTAATTTGCTAATAAAATAGCTACACTGTAGCTACCATTATGATTGATACTGTTAAAAGGAAATTCTTAACCTGTAGGCACTATTATTACCAGTTAAAGGTTTTTGTGTGTGTGTGTGTTTTTAAGTCAAATAACAAAAGCATGGGAGAAGCAAATTAAAGTACCAGAAAAAGGAAAATCCAATTTGTGACTAAATTTTCCACAGGATGATTCTTTTCCCACCCCCTTACTCCTTTTTTTTTTCTTTTTTTTTTTTTTTAAGAGTATGTTTCTTCCATCCAGGTTTGTTCCAAATTAAATTGTGGTTTTTATCCATTTAAATGCAGATTCCTGAAATGCAAATAATGTGATGTTAACAAAGAAGAAGTCCTGGCCCTGAAATTACCTAGTGAAATTGTCTTTGCTCAGGAGTACCGGGTATTGGAGGTGTAATAACACTGAATAGAGCAACTTCATCATACCTCTCCATGGCTGCTTTAGGGAAAATCGGTTGCATGTTAACTTGGGACTTTACCATGGCAAAGGAAAACTCTGCCAACAAGCACAGACAGTGTACAGTTCCCACACACACACCTTGTGCCACTCAGTGCTGGGTTTTCATCAGCTCCGCAAGCATCTACTGAGGACGCGCTCTGCCACACCTGGGGTAGATGTTGGGTGGAGATGGGGAGGTGATTGACAAGTCCCTAATTCCCAGCATCTCACAGTGAGGAAGGGAAGATCGATGTGTGTGTAAATGACTATAAACAGGGATACAAATTTTAAGGGAAATGAAAATCCAATGAGGGAGAGAGATTGTGATGGGCTCCACCGGTGGAGGAGGCAGTTTGAAAAGAGCTTTGAGATGTTAGTGGGTCTTTGACAAGCACAGGTGCTCAAGATGGAAATGTAGCCATTCTATGATAACTACATTTTCTAGGCCTGAGCGGGTGTATATGTGAGGGAAGAGTGCTTAAGGATCTGTCAACTGAAGAATGCTGACGTTTATAAATCAGGGAATTTGTTTCTTACAAAAGGGTGCAGGCTGCAGGGTGGCCATCCTGACAGGCTGGGAAGCAGAGTCCCCTGCCAGGCCAGGGCAGGCCAGCCTGACACTGAGGAAGGGACAAAGGGAACAGGAATTTATGCTGAGCAGGGTGGCCACATATATATATATATTTAATAAGCTCTAGGAAGAGTCAACTGTGAAAGGAGAAACATGCAGGTGAGCAGTTGAGCTTCATGCCCCTTCTTGGGTCCCACATACAAAAAATAGCAGTATTAGCATGACCTGAGGGAGGAGGTTTGGCCCTCTGGTGGCCAAAAGTGAAGCAGAGGGCACAAAAACGTACTGTGGTGCATTCTTCATAGACTAACCAGAACTATTGCCTGGCCAGTGGTCTCTTATCAGTCAAAAAAGCAGGGGTAGCATCTGGCAGTTTGTCAATATCAATGGTGGAGTCTTTAGAAAGGGCTTGTTTCTGTCAAGCCCTTAGAGAAGAAAGCCTAATTGCGATTAGTAAGGGAGGAGGTATAACAAGGTGTGTCTGAACCCTTATCCACCATGGCAGATAACTCAGTTTTCAAGGTTACTCTGGGGTTCTCTTGGCTAGGAGATAGTCCATTCGGTCATTTGGAGGACTTCAAATTTTGTTTTTAGTTTATTGATTAGTACCTGATTTAACAGTCCAATCATATCAAAATTATATCCCTCTTTCTGCTCTGTGGCCCTTGAGCCAGTAGCTATATGGCTGCAGCTATTCCAGACATCATATCTAGACCCAACAGCTGATGAAAAAAGAGCTATGGTCTCCTCTGAAAGTGCTTTCTTAGGAGAGAGAAACTCCTGGAGATCTTTATCTCACTTCTTTTTTAAAAAAATTCTTTCTTTCTTTTTTTTTTTGAGGTGGGGTCTCAAACTGTCGCCAGGCTAGAGTGCAGTGGCATAATCTCGGCTCCCTGCAACCTCTGCCTACCAGGTTCAAGTGATTCTCCTGCCTCAGCCTCCCAAGTAGCTGGGATTATAGGTGCCTGCCACCACGCCCAGCTAATTTTTTTGTTTTTGTATTTTTAGTAGAGATGGGGTTTCACTATGTTGGCCAGGCTGGTCTCAAACTCCTGACCTTGTGATCTGCCCACTTCCACCTCCCAAAGTGCTGAGATTACAGGTGTGAGGCACGGCACCTGGCTATCTCTTTTCTTATTTTTGGGAGTGGGGTCGCATGTCTACTTTTGAATCAACCTTGGCAACAGGAAATGACATCATTGTCCTCACACCCGCTGGCTCTTCTTTGGAGCCAGTGGTGGCATCTGCACCTCCTGAGGCAGGAGGCAGAACAAGGAATGGATACCTGAGCACAACTGAGGCTGTGACTACAAGGAAGAAAGAGAAAATTTGTGTTCTGTTTGCAGCCAGTAGTATCTATTGATAGGCAAATGATGATCATTTGACTTGGAAATAGGAATATCCATTCTGTCCTTGAGATCAGTGTTCCCAAATTCAGCTTCCTCTGGTTCAATTGAAGACCCGCAACAGAAGATGCTGACTCAGCAGATCTGAGTGTAACTGAGTACAGGCTCTGCTGCTGGCCGCTTGCAAAGCCAGTAACAAGGATGAAGTGCAGTAAAAGGAAAGTGACTTTAGTTCCAAAGCTAGCACTGGGAGTGGGGACACGGCCAAGGCTCATATTCTAAGAGAACCATTTCCAAAGTTTGGGCTGAGTGCAGGGGTTTAAAAAGGGAATCTTGATATGGCAGGCACGCAGGAATTGTGTGGGGGTACAGGGGCTCTTTGTCTTGTTTCAATGCCTATCTTGAGTTGTGGTCCACCTGGAGCACAGGCTGGTGCCATCTCCACAATGGACAGCCTTTAGAGCATCCAATCTTTAACTGGGGGGAATTCTACAACTGGGCTTTTATACCGGGTTTGTTTTTAATTTGCCCCTGGAATTTCTTAACAAGCATATAGTTAGGTAAATGTGCATGGCATGAGTTTAACAAGCAAACAGTTAGATAAATGTGTATAGGGTAATCGAGTGTATGGTGGGAAACGAAAGAGAGGAGAATTTCAAAATAAATTTCAAGGCTATGTTGTAAAACTAAGAGAAAAAAGGGCTTCTGCAATTTGCTTCAAGGTTACATCTTGAAACTGGGGAGAAAGGAGAAAAAGAAGAAAAAAGAAATTTTAGAATGTGTTTTGAAGCTAACCTGCTGGGTTGCATGAGAAGGGCTGCCTGGGTCCGTGCTGACTCATGGCTTTGTATGCTACCAGAATGATGTGGTGGAATGACTCAGCTCTCCTCACTGCCACTGCCAACTGCAAAGTGAACTCACTCAGTACACAACAGGCAAGAGCTGGTCTGTGCAGATACTGCATAGGTGCTGGGGCTGAAGCAGAGGCACTCATGGGTATGGGTCTTCAGGGAAACTTATGCCCAGTGAAAAGTCATTAGCCTCAATAAAAAGGGATTCTACTAGAAGATAGTTATCAGTCAAGAATGGGTCGGAGAGCAAGTATCAAAAAACCTGACACCAGTGCCTTGAATACAGAGGTATAGTCCTTATTTTACTTACTCCATAAATGTTGGAGGATATTCAAAGCTGGTACAGCTAGCCATAAGTGCCATCAAGCACCTGGGGCACACTGACGTCCAAGTGATCCCATGTAGCTGAGGAAGCATGGTCTCCCAGCAGGGCAATGCCCAGAGAGACAGAGTGCAGTCCTTACCTGACACTGTCCCCAAGATTGGGCAGTGAGATGCTTTCCACAGTGGCTACGTCCAGGTCACATCCCACTTCTCCAGATCTTTAGATAACAACTTAACTCTCCCAACCGATTGCCAATCAGAAAATCTTTAAATCCACCTATGACCAGGAAGCCTCCCCTGCCCCTGGTGTTGACTGATGTTTGCCTGTAACTTCTGTTTATAGTTTAAAACTTACTGTCCTCACCCATCAAGTTATCCTTAAAACTCCAATCCCCAAATGCTCAGGGAGACTGATATGAGTAATAATAAAACCCCATCTCCCACATAGCCAGCTCTGCATGAATTACTCTATCTCTATTGCGATTCCTCTGTCTTGATACATTGTTTCTGTCCAGGCAGCAGGCAAAGTGAACCTGCTAGGCAGTTACATGGGTAGCCATATAGGCCAGGCTAAAATAGACAGGGACAGGCTGCAGGCTCAGCCTTCCCTCCTTGCTAAGGAATCTCTTGAGCCCTCAAGCGAGATGTGAGAAGGTCCAGTCCAGTCCTTTCAAGATCCTATTTCTCCTCATCCTGGGTCTGTGTCCCAGTGAGTCTCCTCTGTGTTCTCTGGGATAAACCTGTCCATGCAAGTAGGCACTGAAATGATATTTTCCTACATTTTCCAGAGAGAGGGGTGTGGGGGCTGTCATATTTTTAAGTCACATGTTGCAGCCCCTACTTCACCATTAGAGGCATGCAGATTGTAATACCTGGATGGGCTGAGCTGGTTTGAAGGACCTCAGGAAGGGCAGACGCTGGTGACTTCTATTCCTAAATTAGCAGTATAAAGTCAATTCAATCTTGGCATTTAAGAGGATTTGCCTTTCTCGGTGCATCTCCCTAAAGTGAAAGCTGCAGGTGCTTATTACCAGGATGGCTTCCTGCGTTTGTTCTGTGCATTCTTTCTCTTTGCATAGTTTTAATGGTTGGGAAAGTGATATGACCTGCTCAGGCATTTGACAGAAAGAGAGCAGATTCTAGGTCAGAGCTCTTAAAAAGGGCTCTTCCACTTTGCTGAAGCCTTGGGCTGTGACACTTGGCTGGCCCATACAATGAAATATCCCTTAACATCCTGCGGGTTTGATCTTTAATTAGTACCTGTGCATTATGTATTGGTTATATGACCTCCTCCTAACCCTCCTTCAGCTTTCTAGAATTAGCAGGGCAGACCTGGAATTCCACAGGGAACTAAAAACGACACTGTCACAAATAAGGAAATAGATCAAATTTCTAAGTTTAGCAGTGACTTTGCCTTCACACAGAGATTCCCAGAATGCCAAGCCTCGGTGCCAGTCTCTGCGGCCCTTGTCCTCTCCTTTGAAATTCATGTGCTACACAGAGCAAGGCTGGCAGCTCACACTATTTGTAGATGGTTGATAGAAACATTAACTAGCCATGCTTCCTTCTTGATTTCCAACCACCAAATAGCGTGGGCTAGACCTTAGGGAGGGAGCT